TTCCCGACCCCAAATCTGCCGATCACTTAGACCCTGAGCATGTGGCCAAGACCCACCAACCAGAGCCCTGGGGAAGAATTCTCTGTTGTAACTCAGCACCCGCCCCAGCCACCGTCCCGTCTCCGGCGGTTGGGGATTTTTGCTACCGACCATGTGGCTTAACAAAGTGAAGGTTAAGTGGGTGACTTGGTCAGTCCGTCCGGGGAACAAAGATTTAACAGCGGGCTCCTCACTCTCGCAGAGAAAACTCTAACTCGATCCAATGGCTGGACTCCGAAACTAGCCGCATTCAGACTGGAAGTAAGGGGTCCATTTTTAACAGTGGAACAACTTACCAAGGGTCGTGGGGGATTTCTCCATCGCTGGCAATTTTGAAATCTAAGATCTGCTCTAGGAATTACTTCGGGGAAGTTCTCTGACCTGGGCTGTTATGCAGGCGGTCAGACAGATTATCTGGCCTTGGAATCTAGTCATCGATGGGTCTTGTTCTACCTTTCTCTGCTAGATGAAAGCGCCCTCTTGTACCTGGTATTTTCTCCCCAGGAAGGTCTTTGTACCCCATCATCAATTCAGCTGTCCACCGTGTGTCTAGAGCTGAACAGATCACGCTGCACCAGGCTCCAGCATTTCCCCCCTCCCCACCAAGCCCCCGGATCATTTTCCTGGCTCTGATCTGCTCTCTCTCTCCAGTTCGTTCACCGCCCCTTTCCGAAACGTGGACAACCGATTTGAGGGAGGGCAGGGGTTGGGGAAAGTCAACGGAGATGCTGCTGCTCCATCCGGTGAATGCACTGCGAGCATGGAGAACGCTCCGAGCCGAGCTGGGCTGTGCCCCGGGGGCGACACGAGAAAGCTGGAGATGAACGGGGCCGTGACGCTGGCCTCTCTGTGTATGTTAGACAGTCTGGCCCCAAGAGCTGCTAACAGCCACTCAGCTGGCGGGATCAGGCCCCAACATGGCCAGGTTTCCAAATCCAACTGGCGGTTTCCGGAGCCGTCGGCTCGCTGTGCGTGTGGAGATGCGGGGTTTCCTCTCGCTTCAGGAGGAGGTGGGTGGGGGAGAAGTTTTCCTCGGGTTTAAACAGCCTGATTTCCATTTGGAAAACCCCAAATGATCCCCACTGTAAAAGAGCGGGAGCTCTCCGGGGCAAGGCTGGAACCTTCATAAGAGCACCCCCAGGTTTGCCAGCACCTGGAACGGGGACCCCTCAGGGCTGCCTTGTCTCCCCCAACTGAGCTTTTCCAGTCCTGTCCTAGGAACCTCCCTCCAGCCCTGTCCAGCTGGGCTGGCTCGTTAATTAGGCCTCCATGTGCAAGCAGGCCGGTTAATTGGCCTCTTGGGCCCACACGAACCCTCTCCTGGCCCCTACGGGGTGAACACTCCCCTCAAGTTAGGACAAACTTTCTGCCCATCTGGTTAAGCCCTGGCCCAGGTGACCAAGGGAGGCAGCTGTCCCCACTCCACTGTCGCTCTAGATCCTCGGTGGCTGGTTGGGATGGAGGGACTAGTCACTCCCCACCAATAGCAGGTGGATTCCCCCGCCCCGTCTGGCACTGGAGGGAAGTTTCTGCAACTGGCTTCTATTGGAGGCAGCATGAAGTTAAGGCTCTGGGTGGTTACTTGGGAGAAGTGTGTGCCGTTCCCAGCTCTGCCAGAGACCCTTGTGTGGCCTTGGCCACGTCATCTGAGCTCCTCGTGCCTCAGTTTCCCTTCTCTGGGAAGGGGACAGTACTTCTGTCCCTCCTGGGGGTGCGTGTGTGAGGCGAAGTCTGGTAATGACTGTGCGGCACTCAGGTGCTACAGTGACGGGGTGGGGGTGGGGTTGGGGACGCACAAAAGTCCCTAGCTCTGGAAGCGGTTGGGGGTGTTGAGGGGATGGTTTGGAGCCAGTTTGCCCGGCGCGTGTCCCTGGGAATTAAGCAGAGGCGGAACTGTGCGTTTGTGTTTATTGACTTTGTTCATATATTCTCTTGACACATTGGGTTCCTAATCAACGGCGCTATCCCTGTATTGTTAGGACGCTTGGAATTACAAACAATGCTGGGCTGGGACACAAACCCGTTCAACCAATGCAATCATGCAACCAATGCCATCGTCATTTGCCTGCCTGGTGCGAAGGTTGCGGATCTCTCGAGGCATCTGGACAG